TACATAGAAAAGAGGTTCCCAAACACCCTTCCATGTAGGAATGTTCAGGAAGTCTTTTTTCTTCTAAGTGCTACGGCTGTGTGTATATGTTTATAAAAATACAAAGTAAATGTTCAAATAATGCTGAAGTGATTTAAAAACTCAAGTTCTAATATATTTACATTGGAGACTAAGAAAAACAGTTCTTAGCTTACACATTGCCCTTCCAGGGGAAAGGATCAGGAAAGACCCCATGTGCTCAGTGGTTCAGTAGATGCCAAACCAGCGTCTCCAGTGGAGTTCAAGTAGGACATGTAGTGTTTTACTGAAAACGAATGTTTTTTGGTGATAAAGTGTTATGCATCATACAACAACTTTGTATAGGACACCAAGATCCAGACATCTACTTGGAAAACGTGTTTACAAATACCAAATGATATAAGACTGAAGCCCTTTTGTTTTTCCCACACAATGCAAGACAACTGAAGGTAGTCTTGTCCCCAGCAGTGAGTCATACACAGAGCCAGGTACCCCATCAGTGTGCTCTTTCTTGAGGCAGGGTCTCATGTAACCAGTCTGGTCTTGAACTCACTATGTACCAAGGTTGACCTTGAAGTTCTTGTCCTCTTGTTACTACTTCCCAAGTGCTGGGATCACAGGTGTGGGTATCCATACCCAGCTCTAATCCTTTCTAATCCTAAAGTATATAATTTCCTTAGGATGTCTTGGAGAGAGTAATTCTACTCCACCCTCCAGAATCTGCAGGAGTCCTGACAACACCCACACTGTGAAATATACAGCAGCAGGCTGGGCACCAAGGCTTTTTTTCCTTCCTGGTCTTTACTGAATCCAAAAACTTCAAGACCTCTATTGGACTCCTGCTATAGGGGATAAAGACCGGCTTCCAAGACAAAAAGGAACAAGATCAGATTTATGGAGACTGAGCAGGAAGATTTCTGAACTGAAACAATCACTGAAAGGAGAGGAGCATTTTGATGTGCTGTTCTTTGGAATTTCTATAATTAAAAAATAAACAGAACTATTTTGTAAGAAAATACATCTTAGTGTGCAATCCAATGCACATGGAAACTGGTAGATGAAGGTAAAATGCAAAAAAGTATGAAAATACAGTCCTTTAAATGTGGCAATAAAGTTTAACATACTGCTATAAAATCAATACAAATAAATGTACAAGTGCAAAAAAAATTCCATCATTTGTAAAGAGAAGAAAAAAGTGCCAGCTTGCTCGCTTTAAAATGCTTCCCCACAAATTGTTGAAACACAAAATGGACAGATGCAGCATTCAAAATAACCGTCTTAGCATGCCATGTGTTATAAACATACACACACACAAACTGGAATAAAATGTGAAACTAAGCTGGCATCGATAAACTGGTCAGTAAGTTGTTGGGTTACATCATAAATAGGATGTCTCACATCTCAGGCACAGACAACATGGAGGCTGCTTTCAGAGGGCAGACTTTTTGTAGAGGAAGTCTGGCTTGCTTGGGGACCTCCTTCCTCTGCTTATGGAATCGTCCCTTTCCAGATCTGTGTTTCTCTGCACTCCGTGGCCCAGGGACTCACTGTCAGTCAGTCTTCTACTGGATCGTTCTTCTAGAGCTTCAGAGCTACATGCAGAATGGGAAGAAGGTCTATTAGAAGTCAGCCCAAAAGTCAAGTCAGTTTCTCCTGTAGTTCGTGCCCTAACATGGGCTGGACCATTACTGGCATTTTCTGAGGTTGCTGAAGGAAAGTCTGACCGCTGGGGAGGCTGCTCGACAACATCCAGGCGTATTGGTTCGCTCCTCTGTTTGTGGAGAAACCCATCAGAAGAAAGTGAACATTCTCTCCTAGCATCTTCCTGGTTTTTAGGAGAGGTCTGACCAGGTAGGTAAGCTGACTTAAAGCCATTTGATGAAGGCTTATTGTGGCTGTACAAGTCCGGACCAAAATATCTACCTTGTGAAGGAGAAGGGGTACGTCTGCCAGGTGCAGGAGTGGATGGTCTGCAAGCAGCATTTGAGAAGTCATAGAAATCTGGGTATTCTTGCTGATTTTCTCTAGCATCTGGTTTTTGCTCTAGTGTGTGTTTTTTTCGAGACGTGTGTGTATGTCTCTGTGGAATACATGAAAGATGCTGAGGAGGCCCGGGTCCTGCTTCAGAAACCGGCTGGCTTAATTCTGTGTCTGTAGCAAGCTCTGGGAGCCGTCTGTCCTTGAGTGACAGTGTGGACACCCCCATGGCAATATCTGGCATCAGATCATTTAGCACAGGCTGTGTACCCTGAGACAGAAACAAAGAAGCACAGTTACAAAGAAGAAAAGCGTACCATTCCTCTCCAATCCCTTCAGCATCTACTACGAAATACATGCTTGTATTTAAGAATCACAAAAATATGCTGGGTATGGTGGTGCACATCTTTAGTCCTAGCACTCAGGATGCAGAGGCAGGTGGATCTCTGTAAGTTCAAGGCCAGCCTGGTCTATATAGAGAGCTCCAGGCCAGCTAGGGCTATAGGGAGAACCCGTTTCAAAAAGAAAAAACAAAAAAGAATCACAAAAATATAGAAAATTGTATATAGAGAAAATAATACAAACCACTGCCCTTCCCCACAGAAGTAATCATTATGAGCATTTTGAGATATATTCATCTTTGTTTCTATATTAATTTCCATGAAATTTTAGGACACATTAATTTTCTTTTAGATCACTATATGAAAGTAGTATTAACATCTCAGTGCACTGATAAACCATAATTTTTTTTTTTTTTTTTTATCTTTTTGAGACAGAGTCTCCCTGTAGCCTCAGCTGGCCTTGAAGTCAGAGAGCCACCTGTCTCTGCCTCCCAAGTGCTGGGATTAAAGGATTAAAGATGTGTGCCACAATGCCCAGGTGATAAGCCATAATTTAACCATTTTCCTATTACAAGATTTTTTTTTCTGTGTGTGTGTGTGTGTGTGTGTGTGTGTGTGTATGTGTGTGTGTGTGTTGTGTATGTGACCAGAGGTCAGTGTTGTGGGGTTTTTTTTGGTGTTTTTGAGACAGGGTCTTTCTGTAGCCCCAGCTAGCCTGGAACTCACTGTGTAGACCAGGCTGGCCTTGAATTCACAGAGATCTGCCTGCCTCTGCCTCCCAAGTGCTGGGATTAAAGGCATGTACCACCATGCCTGGCTCTCTATCATTCTTACATCCTACTCTCTGAGGCAGATTCAATCAAACCTAGAACTCCATACAGCTATTCTTGCCAGCCAGCTTGCTCTGGGGATCCATTTTCAGCCTTCTGAGGCTGGAACTACAAGGGGGTTGCTGTACCCACCTGGCATGTATGTGGGGTCTGGAGAGCTGAACTTTAGTCTTCTTGCTCGTAGAGCAAGAGCTTTAACTGCCAAGCAGTTTTGTTTTGGTTTTTGGCAACAGGGTTTTTACTGTGTGGCCCTAGCTGGCCTTGAACTTGAATCTGCAGCAATCTTTATGCCTCTGTCTCTCATGTGCTGGAATTACAGACATATGTCACCACACCTGACCTTTTTTTTTGGGGGGGGGGGGGTGTGTCTAACTGTGCAGCTCAGACTTGCCTTGAATCCATGATCTTTTCTGCCTCAGCCTCCCGAGTGCTGGGATTACATGTATATGTCACCACACCTAGCTCTACTACTACATATTTAGGTTATTTACAACTTTTTGCTATAATTAGGACTGTATTAGTGAACATATTATTAAATTATCTCTAAAGAAAAATGTATTTATGAGGTAAAGTAGAATTTTTGTAACCGTAGGGCCAGGCCATTAGAAAGGGGTTTATCAAATGTTACCAACCTTTATAGTTGTAGGCACTGGGAGAAGCATGGCAAGCAGGAGAGAGGGACCAGAATGGAGGAGGGATCATAACTGACCCAAGGTATATACTAGTCCTTCACTTCCAATGAGGTCTGTTTTAATAGTTTCTCCTAACAGATGGACATTTCATTTTTCTCTCCATTCAGTGTTGCTGACAACACACTGACAGAGTAGGAAGACTTAAAAGCCATTATTGTTTTTCTCAAATGTATTATATAAAACAGAAGTCCAATGTCTGGAAGCTTAAGTGCAAAATCAGACGAGAAATTCTCAATTACCACCTACTCACCCCAGCAACTGAAGCTGAGTTAAATGAGGATCTGATGGATGAGCTGGCCAGAGGCAGAGACATGCATGAGGACTTTTATTCTGCCTGTTTTCTCAATGGGTGGTCTGTACCACACTGGTCCCGATGGTGCCAGTGGTTATAGTGTTTGGGAGAATAGTGGAAAATAGTGGTTCTACAAAATGAAAGTAAGGGACATATTCTACATATGTGCTTGCACAGAGTATCAGGACACTACCATGTCTATGTGGACTGCTCAATTAGTGCACTACGCCTGACCTGGCAGCTGAACTTTAAGTGATCAGGGAGACGCTCCTTGCTGCTACCTTACACACCTCCAGTCTTTCCTATCCTTGTCCCTGATACTAGCTTACTCCTTTTTTCCACTCCCCTTAACGGGATACTTTCAGCTAGTTAGTAACACTTTGGGGTATTGTTGAGTCCCAGTAGGGTTTTTAGAGCTGAGAGACTAGCTCCTAATGTCCCACACATTTTGGTTTGGAGCAAGTTACCCAAATGTAGACTTACCATTTGCTTCTCAGATGCTATTGCTGCTGAGGCAGCAGCAGCGGCAGCAGCAGCAGCAGCGACCGTCTGTCTCCCCAGTCCTGTGGTGTTGGTACAGTCGGGAGGTGCTGCTTTAACACTTGGCAAATAGGCTGGGGGAGGGCCGAGTTTAGGAGCTGTCCTGGAGTGAAACCTCGAATGATTACAGGGGTAGGAAAATGAACGGGAAGGGTGCTGAGTGGGAGGCCTTTGTTTCCAGCCTGCTTTGAGCTGGTTATGGATTGGCGTAGCAGGAGGGTGGTAGGGAGGGGGCGGAGGGGGCAAAGGTGGATGGAAGGCCACAAAAGAGTCCAGGTCTGTAAACATGGTTTCTGCAGCAGGGGTACTGTTAACACGACATCTCCCAGACTGTCTCACTGTCAAGAGAGGACTTTCATCCCCAAAACGTTCATCAGGAAAGAACTTGTGAGGATTCTAAGAAAGATAAAAAACAAAACAAAACAATAAAAAAAGTTAGCACTCCCCTTTTTTTAACTAAAAAAAAAATGTGTAATTCATTTCTATTTTATGTATGTGTTTTGCCAGCATGTATGTAAGTACACCTCATGTGTACAATGCTCACAGAGGCCAGAAGAGTATACCAGATCCCCTGCAACTGGAGTTTTGGAGGGGTGTTAACTACTATGTGATGCTGGGAACCAAACCCAGGTCTTCTGCAAGAGCAGCAAGTGCTCCTCGTAACTACTGAGCCATCCTCAGGTCTTATTGGTTCCCCCCCCCCCCTTTTTTGTCTTTTTATGACAGGGTCTCCCTGTAGCCTCAGCTGACCTGGAACTTGCTAGAAGTCCCTGTAGCCTCAGCTGACCTGGAATAGACCAGGCTGGCCTTGAAGTCAGAGATCTATGCCTGCCTCTGTCTCCCAAGTGCTGGAATTACACTCAGCTTTTTTTTTTCTGTCTTTTTGAGACAGGGTCTCCCTGTAGCCCCAGCTGTCCTGGAACTCACTATGTAGACTAGGCTGGCCTTGAACACACAGAGATCCGCCTGCCTCTGCCTCCCGAGTGCTGGGATTAAAGGCCTGTACCACCATGCCCAGTTGTTTTTTTTAAAGACACGCTCTTACGTAGTCCAGGCTGAACTTGCTATGTAACCCTGAACTTCTAATTCTCCTGCCCTCACCTCCCAAGTGTTTTGATTACAGGTGTATGCCATCATGTCTGGCTAAATTAGTACTTTGATTTCTTCCTCTTTTTTCCTCCTCTTCCTGGTTTTTAAAGACAGGGTCTCATACAGCCCAGGCTGGGCTCCATCTCACTATGTAGTGGAAGACTGGCCTTAAACTCCTTATCTTTGTTGCTTCCATCTTCCAAGTGCTGGGATTTCACGCGTCTGCCATCTCACTTGGCTTTAGTTCTTTATTAGGAGATTTCATGGATGCAAATTTAAAGGATGAGAGAATTGTCAGATACTTAAAACACACAACAAAAAACAGAAAGCTCTCAGGGTGTGGTAGCTTATGCCTTTAGTCCCTGCACAGGCAGAGGCGAGCGGATCTTTGTGAGTTCAAGGCCAGCCTGGTCTGCACAGTGAGTTCCAGGACAGCTGGGGTTACAGGGAGACCCTGTTTCAAAAAGAAAAGAAAGCTTAACGTTGTTTTCTAGGCCAGGAGCCTAAGGAAAAAAATACCTTCCTCCTCTCTCCTACCCGCAGGCCTCTCTCTGGGGTAAGTCCATCACGCCATCCTTGCCTTGACTCCCCTAGCCTCATCCACCCTCACATCTCCCCCGCCGTTCTCTCCTCCGAGTTTGGGCCCTGTCCCATTCCTTGTCCTGGGGCCCCAGACACCTGGAGAACCAATACTGCTCCCTGATCCTTTTCATCCAGACCAACATAGTGCCTTCTCTGGGCCCCAGGAGCACTGCTTCTGGGCCTGGCCCTGCCCTCAACTCCCTCTGCTTCCATGGGCCTGCCTCTTTCTGGGACCATGGGGCTGACCTTTCCCCTTCATTTGCACCCAGACCAACCCAGCTCCTCAGTGCAGTCCCCAGGAGGCCTTGGGGTCTCTTCCCGCCCCTATCTGCCTTTGTATCTCTCCCTGGCTTGGCCACCAGCTGCCCTAGACTAGCTAGCATCTTTCCTGGGCCAGGCTCCCAGGCTGGTCCAACCCCCAAATTCCAGAGGCCAAAATCGTTCCTGGAGGGATGCAGACCTTAGGAGAACTCCTGAAAACATTTGACCCTCACCTGAATTGGGCCTCTGTGGGAACTCCTGAAGACAAAAGCAATCTGGCCACTCCAATATAAA